AAATCTGAGTGATGGGATGGGTGGGATCCCATAAATCTGAGTGATGGGATGGGTGGGATCCCATAAATCTGAGTGATGGGGTTTGTGATCCTACAAATCTGAGTGATGGGGTGGGTGGGATCCTGCTGGAGATCTGAGTGATGGGATTTGTGATCCTACAAATCTGAGTGATGGGATCAGTGGGATCCTGCTGGAGATCTGAGTGATGGGATGGGCGGGATCCTAAAGATCTGAGTGATGGGATGGGCAGGATCCCACAAATCTGAGTGATGGGATGGGCAGGATCCCACAAATTTGAGTGATGGGATCGGCAGGATCCCACAAATTTGAGTGATGGGATCGATGGGATCCTGCTGGAGATCTGAGTGATGGGATGGGCAGGATCCCAAAGATCCCTGCGCTGGGATGGGTGGGATCCCAAAGGTCTGAGTGATGGGATGGGTGGGATCCTGATGGAAATCTGAGTGATGGGATGGGCAGGATCCCGCAAATCTGAGTGATGGGATCAGGGGGATCCTGCTGGAGATCCCTGAGCTGGGATGGGCAAGATCCCACAAATCTGAGTGATGGGGGCACAGGATCCCACAAATCTGAGTGATGGGATGGGTGGGATCCCACAAATCTGAGTGATGGGATGGGCACGATCCCAAAGGTCTGAACACTGTGATTGGCAGAATCCCACAGGAGATCCCTGAGTTGAAATCAATGGGATTTCGGAGATCCCCAAACTGGGATGGGCAGGTTCCCACAAATCTGAGTACTGGGATGGGCAGGATCCCAAAGATCCCCACAATGGGATGGGTAGAATCCCACAAATCTGTGTGATGGGATGGGCAGGATCCTAATGGAAATCTGAGTGATGGGATGGGCAGGATCCCACAAATCTGAGCAATGGGATGGGTGGGATCCTGCTGGAGATCTGAGTGATGGGATGGACAGGATCCCACAAATCTGAGTGATGGGATGGACAGGATCCCACAAATCTGAGTGATGGGGTAGGTGGGATCCTGCTGGAGATCCCTGAGCCGGGATGGGCAGGATCCCACAAATCTGAGTGATGGGATCAGTGGGATCCTGCTGGAAATCTGAGTGATGGGATGAGCAGAATCCCACAAATCTGAGTGATGGGAGGGGTGGGATCCTGCTGGAGATCTGAGTGATGGGATGGGCAGGATCCCACAAATCTGAGTGATGGGATGGGCAGGATCCCGCAAATCCAAGCAATGGGATCGATGGGATCCTGCTGGAGATCCCTGAGCTGGGATGGGCAGGATCCCACAAATCCAAGTGCTGGGATGGGCAAGATCCCAAAGATCCCCCCTGTGATCCCATCCCGTTTCCCTCGGGATCTGGGTGGGATCCTGTGATTCAAACCCCATCCTGTCCCTGAGCTACGTGGATCCCTGGGGGTTTCTCTTGGGATCTGGGTGGGGTGCCCATGATCCCATCCCTGTCTTGTTCTGCAGATCTCTCTGGGGTTTCTCTTGGGATCTGGGTGGGGTCCCCCTGATCCCATCCCCATCCTGTCCCATGGATCTCTCTGGGGTTTCTCTCGGGATTTGGGTGGGGTCCCTGTGATCCTGTCCCCATCCTGTCCCTGAGCTCTGAGCGGATCCCTGGGGGTTCTGTCAGGATTTGGGTAGGGTCCCTGGGATACTTTTCCCATCCTGTCCTGTGGATCCCTGAGGGTTTTCCTCAGGATTTGGGTGGGGTCCCTGTGATCCCATCCCACTTTCCTCAGGATTTGGGTGGGTCCCCATGATCCCATCCCCGTCCTGTCCCGTGGATCTCTCTGGGGTTTCTCTCGGGAT